CTCCATTGGTTTGACAATTTTTTTGATACATTTTCATCATATTAAATTTCTTTGGCAAAACTTTTGTAATATTGTCGTATCAAGTCAAATTTTACCTTTCTCCGCGCTTAAAGAGGTCAACGCTCTCCATCCAGCATTCCTCAACCCCTTAGCAGTTCTGAGTGCCTGGTATATCTGTATGGCATGTGAGGAGGGTACGTGCAGCTCCCAGCCCAACTCTCCAGACCAGCCGACACGCAGAGCGCGGCATTTGTACCGCTTGTTGTCGGGTGAGAATGGCGCTTTGGACACGTTGATGCTACGATGAGTGTTCACAGGGAACGCGTCATTCGATAGACCAGCGTCCGTGTACCGTTGGAGAATTCTCTGACTAAAATTATGACAAAATTGATTTTAATCTTTTGGAAATACAGTTAAAATTACTAGAAATATTTTACACAATAGTTAAAAGACTGTATTTTGACAACTCAACGTGAATGGGTATTACTTAAGGATTCAAAAAGTAAACTTTCATTTAATATTGATAAATCATCATTAATAACAGCGCCATCTGCCGAGAGACCAAAAGAACTAAGAGGGTAAATTTTAGATACGACCTTGAAATATTTTTATCCTTTGTATTCTTGTGTATACCTGTCGGGTCCTTGAACGCTGAGGATGCAGAGCTGCTTGGTGACGTCAGTAATGGTAGCTCGCAGCTTATGCGTTTGAATGATGCGTCGTAAGTGAGCCAACGTGTGGTTCGCACTGAACCCTGAAGACACCACGTAGTATCCACGTCCCTGACAATATTGTTAACTATAAATTACTTGATTAATATGAGTTTAAACAATAAGGGCCAGTCACATTTACGTAATTACTTTGAATATAGGCTCATGTAGTTGCCCGCTGCCGCCGTCGAGAATGCTCACAGTGACGTCAGCTTCCACACCGCCTTTGTCATTGAGGAGCAAGGAATAAACGACCCTGTAATTAACACAATAAAGCTCTAAGTGCAATATATAATCTGCCATGATCTTTATAAAATCTGAACATCTTAGGTTTGGAAGACATAACTAATTTTCCATGGCTATTACAACATTCAAACTTTATGGCGGCTCGGTTTAACTGAGAACTCATCAGCAGCCGCACTACAAAGAAAGGCGTGCGCAGGATATGCCCCACCCTTTTATATCCCACTAATTATAATTTTATTTATATGATATCTAATATATTGCGTTTAGCACCGACAAGAACAATGCACAGTGGGGCTAAACAAAAATGTATGAAACTGACTAAATGTGTGACTTTTTTACAGTTATTGTCAGTTCTATACCTTTTTAAGTTTGTTATGAAATCGCTTCGGTGTAAATGTACTTTATCTAGGGGGTATAGGAGTCATAGATAATTTTTTAGCAACTCAATGTCGCATGTCTACGGTACAATGCGCCTCTATTACGTCCCGTCGCGTCTAAAATTATGTGGAGCACTCGTGCGATGGTCAGAGCTGTTATAAATTTTGTATATCAGTATACCTGTCGTCTTTCTTGGTGAGATGAGCGGTGAAGGCGAGATGTGCGGTGCGCTGCGCGTCCGGACCCGTCAGATAGAACTTGCCGTAGTACGACATGTTGAACAGCGCCGCCGCGTTACGACACGACAGTGCCTCTTCTCCGATCTAATGTCATTATTAAACTTTGAATACTTTGTTAGTTTAAGAATAAAGTTATGTTTGTGTTTTCGCGTTACGTAAAGTTTGTAAAATTTCCAAGAAATAAATGATTAGTAGGAAAATGTTTTGAAATAATTTGTTATTTGTGTCCAATATTACATTACTTGTTAACTGACTAAATATACTTCGTGTGAAAACAAAAAGAGAAAATAAAGATATATTCCTTATAATTATGTTTCAAACTTTTATAAAGAGACAATTTATTACTTTCCCGATTAGCACAATAAACCCTCGACCTATGTTACAAACTCAGTAAGACTTTTTTTTATTTTACTTTTATAAATGACATAATTTACTGGTAACTCTTTAGTTTGTAAAGTTTACATACGAGTTGATGATGTTTGGAGAAATCGAATGTATAATCTCCTTGAAGTACGTGCTCGTAGCGCTGGTCCAGGTTGCGAGGATAGTCCTGTGTGCCGCCCCAGTCGTACTGCTGCACTCGGATCTATAACAACATATTACTATGAACTGCTAAATTATCTATATTAAATAATAAAACGAATTACTAAAAAACAAACAACACGTAACTTTTTACGTTACAAGAAATCAATAAACACTTAAAATTTGACAATAAAGATCGTTTAAACAGAAATTTCCACACTTTTTCTTGTAGACTCTTTTCAAAATTTTATTATTCTCAGTGAACTATATATATATATATATATATATATTTCTTTTTGTGAATCTACAATTTTAATTCCCGCTATCGAACCTAGCCGAGCCCCCTAGGGGTGTCACCTGAATCAAATTGGATCACCATATTGCAAAGTTACTAGCAACATCAATTATCAACTTCAATCGCCTACCTTCTCCCCGGGCATATAAAAGCCGGGTCGTTCCCACCCAGCGCGAGCTTGCATCACCGCTCCATCATCGACGAGGTCCTGGTGCAGCGCATCATGGCTGGCATCGCGGCCCGCCAGGCGCTCGTCGTGCGGGAACACGACGCTGTAGTTGCGCACGTACGACTCGTGGCTACACTCGCGCACCCAGTGCGGCCGCGACAGCTGCGCCGGGGTGAAGCGACGCACGTCGAATGTGAACATGTTGTACTTCGGCCTGACATACATACATACTGTTAGGAAGAAAATCCGACACTGTGCCGGTGTACTGGCGCAACACTAGCCTTACTAAAATGTCGACGTTTATGTCCCCTCACTGATTCCGACACTGGACTTGGCAACGAAAGCACGTCATTCGCGCCAAGTGGATGAAGTGCGAAAATGGATGGATGGATGTTTGTTACACGGCTCAACGGATCATGATGAAATTTGTTACAGATGTAGAATATAGTCTGGATGAATACATACGATACTAATTAATTTTTTTATTAATTTCGTGCGGTCAAAGTCGCGGGTAAAAGTTAGTCATATTATACTTTACTGGTAGACAGCCACATCTAGAATAAATACATCGACGACATAAGACAGATTCAAGTAGGAGCAATTCCGCGTGAATTTTACGTTGGATGAAATGAATATTCTATTTCTGTACATCCTCTCCTCCTTAGATTAAAGGTAATCAACGCTACAGCTGCGCATGTCTTTATCCCGAAAATGAGACGTAAAATTTTGCTTTCAGGTCAATAACATAATTTTTATTGAATAACATGTACTAAATTGGAAATCCAGATTTATTACTGACCTTCCAGTAACGATCCATTCAGCCATTTGTATAGCGCAACCCGCAGAGAACATCATACCAGCGGAATTGTATCCGCAGTTGTGGTACAGTCCTGAGAACAAAACAAATATAATTATTAGCATGAATAAAAGTCAAAAACAAAAATCTTTAGTATTTCTTACCAAAGACGTTGGGATCTTCGCCCAGTAGTGGTTTGTGATCTGGTGTGAACGATTCCGGTCCGCAAACTGTACTTTTGACGCCGACTGTACTTAGTTTGGGACAAAGAGTCGTCGCACTGTTCATATGAACACCGAATACATCCCAATCTAAGTCGTATAAATGGAATTGAAGATTATCTGGAACCTGTTAAAAGTAATTCTTATTAAAATTTAATTTCAATGAAAATTAATATTAAGATTTCATTTTAATAATATTAAAATTAAAAATATTAAAATGGGGGAGCCCAATCTATGGACAAACTGGCTTGCCATTGCCTCATAATACTTATAAAATATTATTTTTTTGTTAGTTGGGTTTAAAAAAAATGTTATGGTCTGTGAATAAAATCTAACCTAATATCGTTTTTAGT